GGGTAGTGGCGTAGTGCGGCTGGCCAGCGCCGGGTTCCTGTGTGCTGGGATGCAGCAGCGCCTTGGAGACGCCTTGTGACTGATCCGACGGCAAGTGCTTTTGCATCCACTGGGGGGAGCCGGGCTCCCAGTGTGGCAGTACTGCGGTGGTGGTAATGCTCCTGCTGTATTTGTGGCAGAAAACCCAGGGCTTTCTGTGTGTGGCTGCTGAGAGCACCACTAAAATGTAGCCTGGCAATGTGTGCTGGGATGCAGCAGCGCCTTGGAGACGCCTTGTGACTGATCCGACGGCAAGTGCTTTTGCATCCACTGGGGGGAGCCGGGCTCCCAGTGTGGCAGTACTGCGGTGGTGGTAATGCTCCTGCTGTATTTGTGGCAGAAAACCCAGGGCTTTCTGTGTGTGGCTGCTGAGAGCACCACTAAAATGTAGCCTGGCAAGGGAGCGCCTGGGCAGCCTGGCCTCGGGACAACTGGCGCCCCTCTCGGGCTGATTATGGGAATCCGGGTCACAGACTGGAAGGTTGCCTCCTGCAGCGCTGTCCCCCGCCCCAGAGCGCCACTCGAGAGCCTGTCGCTGGGCACCGTGTGACTGACCGGGGTGGCATCTAGGGGCAGTGTACCGCTGAGAAATCTGTTCTCTCAAACTGCTTCCAGCTCTGCATCGGGAGCACTGCAGAGCTGAGTCTGCAACGCCCCAGTCCCGCTTAGAGTCCACCCGGAGAATGCTTGTTTCCTTTGCATCTTACTTGGCTGGCAAGTGAGACCGGCCTAGGCCGACCATTGCCACGTCCGGGTGCACAGGACTCCAAAAGCCCCCTTCACAGGGAGTGCAGGAACGTGGGTTTTGCATGCAGCCTGAATGCCAGGCCTGCGCTCAGCTGGTGGGCCCTGTAGTTGTAGAGCACTTCTTGGATGCTTGGGAAAATCCCGTCAGAGCTGGGAGTTGTGGGCACACCGGGAAACGCCTTCTGTGCTGCATAGAATCCCTGCTTTGTCGTCAGTCTGCATCACACAGTGGGCTGGAGGCGCCCGGCCACTCAGCAGTTGTCAAATTCCCAGGCGCCCCAGCAGCCTGACTCGGAGGCGTGGCGTTGTGCACAGCAGGGTCCTGGGCACCACTGTAAGACTGTTCCCCGTGGCAGCACCCAGGAGCCCTAGCGGCTAAGCCGTCCTCTTTTAGTTTTCACGTGGCTAACGATTCTCTCCTGTCCCTACAGCACAGCCCTCGGAGGAGCCAGGAGGGGACAGGTAGGCTCACTTGTGCCCTCTTGGGAAGGGGCCATGGGGTGGTGAGCTCAGCATGGTGGTCTCGTCTCTGCCCTTTGCCCTTGTGCAGGGCTGCCCCGGCTCTGGCTGTGCTGGGACGGTGTGCGTAGTCCTGAAACGCCTGGCACACAGCTGGGTTTGCAGTGCTTCCTCCTCCCACCGTGGGAGCTGCCCTTGGAGTTTCCAGGAAACCTTGAGGCCCTTCCAGTGGCAATAGAGTCTGTGTGGTTCTGGCACTGGCATGTCCAGGGGTTTCCCTAAAGCTCAGGCAAAGAGGATCATAAGAATCCCCAGAGAGGGAAATGCCTGGGATTGACGTCCGCCACCGTGAGGAGCCCGGTCCCTCTGAGTTCCAGGACACCTGTCACCCAGGACTGGACGCTAGGAGCTCTGATGCTTGACCTGTGACATGGGGACGTTGCTGTTTCCAGGGGGGCGGTGTGTTGTGCAGCCAGATGCCTGGGGCCCTGCTCTTTCAGCACGGTTCAGCTGTCCCTCATCGGAGGCGTCCTTAATGAAGTAAATGGGAGGTGCACCCTGGTATTACAAAGCCTTTGAAAGGGAGCCCTGCTTCCCTGTGAGGTGGGGTGCATCGAAGTTGTCATCTTACGCTCGTATCTGTGTCTAGTGAGAGCGTGACGGCCGAATCACAGCCTCACCTGCTCAGCGTCCCCGAGCTGTGCTACTGCCTGGCTGAGAGCTGGGTCACCTTCCGGCTGTACCTGCAGGAGCTGCTACAGTACAAGAGGCAAAATCCTGCCAAGGTAAGCTGGGGACGTGCTGCTCCCCTTCTGCCGGAGGGTGGCCTGGGGGCTGGGAGATTTTCACTGTTGTGGCCCATGGCTAATCCTTGCTGATGCAGGGGGAGCTTTGCTAATGAGTAATTCTGTTCCCAGCTCCGAGGTGCTGGGGCCGAGCCAAACCCCTCATGGGAACACTCAGCTCTTTGTTCCTCAATGAGGAAGCCAGCCTGCTGTGGCTTTGCCCTGCCATGGGCCCCGTTGAGCATTGGGAGCAGTTTGTAGCTGTTTTGCAAGTAGCACCCTCAGGCTGCTGTTCTCCAGACCAGTGATGCTGTAGCGTTCAGGGCTCGTGCATGAAAGAATCTGGGGGTGGCTGGATGTGCCCTGTGTCTCTTGTAGAGGAATTGCCTCTAGGTCTGTAGCCAGGTCCTGCTTCTGCCCTACGGCTGACCCTCGACACCCCGAGAGATCAGTGACACTCACCCAGGCTCCCTTTGTAGTGGACTTGGCAGGATCCAGGACAGTCGCGTTAGAGAAGCCAGAGGGGTTTGGCGACTTCTTTTCGTTGCTGGCTGTATGCACGTCTCGGGCCGGCGCCTCCAGGTGGCCACATTCACCAGCAGGGAGGGGAAGCAACTCAGACAGATGCCGGCGTTTTCAGCCTGCTGGCCTCTCGTGTGAATTGGTTGGCCGATGACTGAGTGCACCACACTCGCCCACTTGGCAAAGCCGCCTACAGCTCACGCCCAGGGCCGTCTCGCCGGCCCGATCCCTGTGACAGACCTCCAGCATGGTAGAGCCATCGTCTGGCCAGGGAGAGGCCTGCGCCCCTCGCAGGGAGCAGAGGAGTCTAGGCTGGGGAGTCTCACACCCGCCATCCCAGGCATGGCTGGGGCACCATGGACGGGGCACAAATCCTGTAACTTCTCTCTGCCCTGCTTCCCCCATCTGGGTCACGGGAGGGACAGTACAGACAGAGGAGCAGCACTGCAGCGGGCCTTGCTTCCAGGCAGTCTTGCTGAAGTGCAGGAGGGCACCAATTCAGGGCAGCCCCGTAACGTTTTATGGGGGGGATAGGTTCTTAGGCTTCCCTAGGGCTTATCCACGCTGACTGGCTCTTTGCTCTTCACTCTCTCTCCCCAGGGCTGGGCCGCTTGAGTTCTGAGCATTGGCACAGATTGAGGCCAGAGTAACCCCTTGGGCTTCTAGTGTCTGAAATGTGTGTTCAGACGGCGCCCTGTGGGAAATGGCGCAGAGCAGGACTCTTGCACCAGCCGCAGGGATGGCATCTTGGCCACCCCTCCATTGCTCTGTTCACCCCTCACCTCTTTCTTCCCCCAGTTCTGTGCACGGGTCTGTTTGGGGTGCCTGGTCCTGGCTACGGTGGGACACTACGTGCCAGGCATAATGATCTCCTCCATCATCTGTGAGTATAGAGGGTCCTTGGGGTCGGCTGATGCCAGTCGGATTGTGCCTGAGTCCCTTGCTAAGCGAGTAGCGGTGTGCTCACGATTCGTTCCCGACAACGGGCTCCTCGCCTCCCTGCGCCTCCGGTCTCTCACTAGCTTACTGTGTGGTGCAATACTGCACACAGCCAGCAGAGGGAGCCACGGAATCAGCGCTAGAACTGGCAGGGACCTCGCTGGTCAGAGTCCAGCTCCCGTCCGTCCCAGCAGGGCCCAGCACCATCTAGACCAGGGCTCGGCCCGGTGCCGGTCGGCCTTCCCGGGGCTCGGCCTTCCCGGGGCTCGGCCCGCTGC